ATTATAAACATGATTCATTCTTTTATTTACTGTCAAATAAATCTTTAAACCACTGCATATATAATTTCTTAGGTTTAGATAAGAAACTACTAAACGGGGGGGGGGGGAATAGTGTGGTGGTTAAAGCGCTGGACATCCTCACATGGCCAATCACGGTTTAAGTCCCGGATCTGGTGGCTTGCTTTCTCACTTTCCCTCTATCTCTCTCTCTCTGTCTCTCCCTGGTCAAATTAAGACAAATGAGTGAATAAATAAAGTTAAATAAATAATTCTTTAAAAATAAACAAATAAAAAGAAACGAAACTACTAAACTTGGGCCAGTTCTGTGGCCTGGTGGTTAAGGCAGCCAGATCCCACATTGCCAACCACCCAGTTTGAGTCCCAGACCCCACAGCTTAAGAAACATGCCAGATGTGCATGCCAAAAATCCTGAAAGGAGGCAGCGAAGGAGAAGGGATAGCAGCATGACCATTTTCCCTGGGATGCTTTCTCCTTTCCCACCCTCTCTCTCTCTCTCTCTGGTGAGCACATGTACCTTCTAGCCAAAACAAACAAATAAATAAACAATAAAGAAACTACTTAGTTACTTCAAACAGAATTTAGTCTTGAAAATTAAACTGAAATCAAGCCATGTAAAACCTACTAAAAACTAAAGGAAAATCATCTGTGATAAAACTGCTTTTAGCTTAAGAGATTAATGCTTAGAGTGACACTTGCCTCTCCATCACATGCACCAGAGAGGACAGTAGACAGGCTCTTTGGATGCTTTGCCAAGCAGTTGACTCCATCTCGGTGACCATCCAGGGAAGCAAGGAATGGTTTTGCAAATACCCGTTCCAGTTTGGCAGCATTTAAAGCTCTTACATATTCTCGAGGGACCTCGAAAGGATGTAAGGTAGGATCATAGTTTCTTGGAACTGAAATACAAATGAGTCTCCTTAATAAAATAATTCACATTTAATATTTCCTGTGGTCTTCCTTAGCTAATCACTCAATTTCTTATTCAATAAGCCTTTAGTTACAGACATAGTTCTATGCCTAGCAGTGTAAAGAATACAAACATAGAAGACCCATCATCCAGAAACCTTTTGAAATTTCTGGAATATCACAATTTGCACGTATCTTGCAAAATAATTAGATCCTATACAAATATACAAAAAAAAGACACACATTGCTTTTCCTTTTATGAGCCCCAATAGACTGTGCAAATGAGTTATGACCTCCCATGGGAACAACTTCTGTTCTGTTTCACGTTACTACTCCAGCCTGGTGCAAAGCAAGTGTATGATGAAAGCTTCTTATAGGACAGGGAACACTTTAATCTCTGGAACTAAACTCTGTACTGATAGGTACATGACACCGTGATTATGATGATAATATATAGCATCTATTTACCGTGTTTACTTAAACCATTTATACATAGAGCTCACCAAGACAGACACTGTTCCACAAAGCTTATATTAACTCACTGAATCTGCATAGTACCCTATGGGTTAAGTTCTACCACTATTTCCCACTTTATAAATGGGGAAACAGAGGAACAGAGAGGTGACACCACTGCCCTATGAAGCGATAGAACTAAGATTTAAATCAACACAGTTCACCTCCAGAGTGAAAGTTTTTAGCTATTCTACAGTGCTGCCAAATTCACTGTCTCAGTTAATAACTATGCATAGTAAATCATTCTAAGCCACATGTCTAAAGAAACCTTAGTGTGGGACCAGCAGTTGGCATAATGGCTATGTCACTGGACTCCCATGTAGTCAACCACGGTCTGAGTTCCAAACCCTGTGGCTTAAACTCACGCTGGGCACGTGTGCATGGGCACCCAAGATCCTGAGAGGAGAATGGAGGAGAAAGGATTGGGGTGTGACAATCCCCCCTGGGGGGGGTGATTTATCGCTTTCTGTCTCTCTGTCTCTCTCTTTCTGGAGAACACACATACCCTATGCAAAAAGCTTTCAAAAAAAAAAAAACAAAAAACGAAAAAAGAAACCTTAATGTATAGAAGTAAATGTGTCTTATCCAATTACTTCACCCTATTATAAAAAGCTTTCATTTTTTTTTTTGAGAGATTTTCGCTATAGGGCGCGTGCGCTCGCCAGACAGACAGAGACAGACATAGAGACAGAAAGTGAGAAATCACCCCCCAGGGAGGATGGTCACGCCGCAATCCCTTCTCCTCTATTCTCCTCTCGGGATCTTGGGGACGCACGTACACGCGCCCGGCGTGAGTTCTAAGCCACCGGGTCCGGGATGCGAACCACAGTCAACTACGTGGGAATCCAGTGACATAGCCATTACGCTAACCACTGGTTCCCTGTTATTTCTTCTTTCTGACTCCCTGTTAAAGGTACTAAAACCAACATCATTAAAGCTCAAAGTCTGGTCATCCTATGTATTCCATCTTCCACATTCCCCAATACCAAATTCAAAGTGTTAACTCATCCTCTCTTCAAAATATTCACTTTTTCCTTTGTTTCCCCTTAAATGTGATAACTCAGTTTTGGCTTTATTACCTTATACTTGAAGAGAGCCTGAACTTGACAAAGACAAGCAGATCCAAAGAAATATTCAGAATTAGTTACACTTACTTAGTATATTAATTTTCAGTTACATCTGGTGGTCCTGCAAAGGTTATTTTTTTAGTATGTACAGAAAGTTCCCTCTACTCTGATGTTAATAGCTGTTCCTGGGACTGGCAGGTGGCATGGAGGTTAAGACACTGGACTCCCACATGGACGAACCACAGTTCAAGTCCCATACCTGGTGGCTTGCTTTCTCACTTTCCCCCAATCTCTCTCTGGTCAAACTAAAAATAATAATAATAAATACAATTAAATAATAAAATTATCCTTTTAAAAATTAGCTGTCCCTATGACTAATTGGTATTTTAATATATATATTTTTGGAGAGCATATTGCTATAGGCCACATGTGCTTGCCAGAGAGACAGAAAGTGAGAAATCACCCCCCCTATGGAGGGATGGTCATTCCACAATCCTTTCTACTCCATTCTCTTCTAGGTATTTGGGCACGCACGCACATGTGCCTGGTGTGAGTTTTAACCTGCCAGGTCCAGGACTAGAACTGCTGTCAATGATGCTGGTGTCCAGCAATGTAACCATTATGCCATCTGCTGGTCCCGGTTATTTTAATAATTAATTTTAAAAACAACAATATAGTAAATCATTCTATTTCTAAATATTTTTTATGTAGGCCGAAACAAATTTTTATGAATTACTTTCATTATTTTTAGCACTAATTTTTTTTTAAGCATTGAGTACTCATTCCTCAGCCTTCCAACTGAATGACAGGCATGTATAACCACATCTGTTTTTTTTTTTTTTTGAGAGGTTTTTGCTATAAGGCGCGTGCGCTCGCCAGACAGAGACAGAAAGGGAGAACTCACCCCACAGAGGGGCTGGCACCGCTGCAATCCCTTCTCCACCATTCTCCTCTTGGGATCTTGGGCACGCATGCACACACACCCGGAGTGAGTTTTTTTTTGTTTGTTAGTTTTTTTTGGAGAGGTTTTTCACTATAGGGCGCGTGTGCTCACCAGACAGACAGAGAGAGACATAGAGACAGAAAGCGAGAAATCACCCCCCAGGGGGGATGGTCACGCCGCAATCCCTTCTCCTCCATTCTCCTCTTGGGATTTTGGGCACGCACGCACACGCGCCCGGCGTGAGTTTTAAGCCACCGGGTCTGGGATGCAAACCACAGTCGACTACGTGCGAGTCCAGCGACATAGCCATTACGCTAACTGCTAGTCCCCACATCTGTTTTTTTTTTAAAAGACAGTCTTACTGTGTTGTCTAGGCCAGTCTCAAGCTGACTCAGCCTGCCAAGTTGCTGGGATCATGGACCACTGCACTCAGCCTTCAGAATCAAGCTGGGGTCCTCTATGTAGACCCAGGAACCAGCAAACATCTTGTGAGCAGAGACCACATAATTACCTTTGAGCAACGCTTACATATATTTTAATAATCTCTACTACTCAATCAAAATACTGAAATATTGTTCTAACTTTATCTTCTATCACATACCCCTCATTTAAACCGCACCAAGCGAGCCCTTCTTTCTATGTGTTAGATTCATTCCCACCTTAAGGCCTTTGCACCTGTTCCACTCTTAGAGTAATCTGTTAATGCACAGGTGATTCCTTGACACTTAGGTATGGTAAGTTATTCATAAGCAGTCACCATGTTAATGGAGAAACAGATCAGGAAGAATATATAAAACTGATGAATTTCATTTTGGCCATTCTTCCATCAAACTTCTCCACAAAAGCTGGTAAGATAAAACTTATGGTTTTAAATTTCATCTTTCCATATCCAGAAAAACATAATTCAAAGCAGTAAGGAAGAGAGAAGTTAGAAGAGCAGAAAGGTATAAAGAAGCCTGTTTAACACACTCGGCTTGGCTAATTCAAGTTACACATTCAACAACAGGAACCTAAGGACATCAGAAAGCAGCAGCTGCAGGAGGGCAGGGAGTGTAGGTAACTCTCACACATCACTCGAAATTTTTAGAGAAAGGACCTGAAGAGACGCTACTGCCACCCAGTACTGCAGTTCTCCCTGAACAAGGTCTGCTACGGAGAAAGAGAACGGAGAAAGAACGCGACTAGAGCACTAAGCTCCCCTAAGTTTCCTCTGTGGAAGCGGCGGCCAGACCCAAGGATTCGCGGAAGTCGTCCCCGTCTCCACCAACTTGCCTCACCTCTCTGTAAGTCCAACTTGGTTTCACGGACATAGTTGTCCGGGTTCCGGCTCAACATTTTCACCTTCATCTTGGGGGATACAGTCCCGCCTTTCCGAGCTTTTCACTCCAGCTTAGCTCACGGTAGACCACGGGCACATGCGACTTCCGCTTTGCCAGACTACTTCCTGTCACGTGACTCCGCCAAGCGGCAACAGGCGGCTCAACTGGATCCCGTGACGCTCCGTAGTTTTACGGGCAAACATTTACAGGGGGCGGTCCTTCAGCTGCGCGCTCTCATCCGGTTCTCCGGCCGGAGCCCGCCGCCTCTGTGGGCAGGCGGGGCGGGGACTCCACGCCTCCGTGACGTGCTGCTGCTCCCACCTCACGCTCTCTCCGCACGAGTGTCTCCCGGCATCGTACCCGCGATCCGGGCATCTAGTCGTCTCGCCGGTCCAGGAAGTGGCCTCGCGCCTACTCCCGGGCGACTCCCGTCGCCACGGTGGCGGCCACAGCATCTCGTCCCACGTCCGCGGCCCTGGGTGCTGTGGTGTCCCCGAGTCCTGAGCCTATGACGGGCCAGAGCCAGTCGGCGGCCGGGTCGTCGACGTGTACCACGGTATTCCGCCACGTCCGGTATGAGAACCTGGTAGCGGGCGTGAGCGGCGGCGTCTTGTCCAACCTCGCGCTGCACCCGCTCGACCTTGTGAAGATCCGCTTCGCTGGTAAGGGACCTTCCGGACCCCGGT